ATCCAAGTCCCCCCACCATATACAAAATCCCAGCCCCCCGCCATATACTAAATCTCAGTCCCCTCGTCTAGCCAACAAGCACTCACATTGCCACTACCACTATGCGACTCCAGACTCTGGTATACCCCAAATGGTGCCGTTCCCATCCTTTGCCAAATCAGATCCTCCCGCTACTTCTTGAAACCCTGTGAAAGTGGAGCACGTCGACGTCACGTTCAAATGTGACGTGGCATTGCGTGCCTCCGTGCACCTCCAGGTCCTCCACTGTCCAGCCACAGCCAACGCAACACTGACAGACACACACACTCATTTACTCACTGACAGACACTCACTCACTGACAGACACACATACTCACTGACAGACACACATTTACACATTCTTGCACACACTCACATCATTGTATTTATGTCCAGTGGGGATCTTCCATCCTGCTGCTCACTGCTCCCTCATGCGCACAGTTTAGTGATGCCGGGTGTCGGAATATGACATCATATTCCGGCTGTTCTATCAAATTCCCTTACCTCGTGAAAATCCCCTACCCTCGGCACTTCCTGTGACGGGACTCAGCTGGATCCCGTTCTGCACATGCGTGCTAGCACTCCTGCTACTCCTCCACAGCCAGGTCCTGGAAGGTAACTAACAAAGCAAGGTCCTGGAAGGTAAGTAAAGCTAGTTTTACACTTTCATTATAGTTAGTGCATTCACTAAGCTTAGGCACACGGGACATTTAGGGTTAAGTGAGGGTACAAATTAGGGTTAGGTAAGTGATTCTGACCTCTCTCACACTTTATTCTTACCCTAACCCTTGGGAAGGGTTAAAATAAAGTGTGAAAAATAACTATTTATAGATATTCCCCTAATGTGAAATATCACTAAATATAAACAAGTCCCTAATCCTAACCCTAATTTGAACCCTAACATTAACCCTAAATGTCCCATGTCCTGAGCTTAGTGAATGCACTAACTATAATGAAAGTGTAAAACTAGTTTTACTTACCTTCCAGGACCTGGCTTTGGAGGAGTAGCAGGCCAGGTAAATTTTAGCAGAGTAGGCACCTGCAATGTGGGGAGAGCAGGTGGCTGCTCTGCTTTAACACTAAGCATGTACTCGCGGCTCGCAAAGAGCCGCGAGTGGGCCCCGAGTTTCACATGCCTGATGTACACTCATCAGCCACAACAATAATACCACCTTCCTAATATCCCGTAGGTCTCCCCTGTGCTGCCAAAACAGTTGTGATGTATCGAGGCATGGATTCCACACCATCTCCGAACGTGTCCTATGGTATCTGGCATCAAGACATTAGCAGCAGATCCTTTAAGTCGTGCAAGTTGTGAGGTGGGGCCTCCATAGATTGGTTTGTTGTTCCAGCACATCCCATAGACACTCAATCAGTTTAAGATCTGGGGAATTTGGAGGCCAAGACAACACCTTGAACTCTGTTGTGTTCCTCAAACCATTCCTGAACAATTTTGCAGTGTGACAGGGTGCATTATCCTGCTGAAACGGGCCACTGACACCAGGTAACATCATTGCCATGAAAGGGTGTACGTGTCCTGCAACAATCTCTATGTAGGTGGTACGTGTCAAAGTAACATCTACATGAAACTTAAAAAGAAGGAGGGAAGCGCAACCACAAGTGTGTGCAACATGTTCTACAGCTTTAATTGAAGAACAAGCGTTTCGGGCAAAGCCCTTTCTCAATGCATCTTGTCCTTGATGTTTGTATAGATGCTTGTTCTTGAATTAACCTCTCAAGGACTGAGCCAAATGTACACGTTGTGATCAAAACAAAACGTAAACAAAACCTGGAATTTGCGCTACATGTCTGTCCAACCGTAATTCACCTCTTTCATATTAAGTGCACCCACACTTATTATATATCATTTTATTCAGGAGAAACAGGGCTTTCAGTTAACATCAAATATTTAGCTATGAAACATAATTTAATATGAACTGTAGCGGAGATCCAGTATTCCACAGGTTATCTTCGCTTAAGATCCCAGTGAGGCTCAGGAACAAGTAATTATAAATCCACAAAGCAAGGTTTCCAGCAGGTAAAATAATCCAACAGTATCCCAACAGCAATCCCAATAACTGGACGACACACAGCATCAGGAGCAGAACCTTTATTTCACAGTGGCCTTATAAAGCATGCTCCCATGCAAGGGAGGGATTTCCATCAATTACTATAGTATCCAATCCTGTCCCGGTAACCTCCCACACATCCCCTCCCCTCAGCCTGCATCATGATCCCCTTATCCAGGACACCAATTCCCCCCGTTTCTGGATGTACCCCTAAACCGAGGGGTACCACTTTAAATTATACATCCCCTGGTAGCTCTGATCTGGGTGAACAACATATCCAAAAATCACCCAGATTAGACCAGGGGTTCGGGAAATTTATGGAGGGAATAAAATGACCGACCGCACTGGAAGGAATAGCCGAATTGGGCTCCAAGCGATGGGGCCCTGCGGTCGGTCCTGGAACAAGGGAATAAAATCACACGAAAGCCTCTAGTTACAGAGACTGGGGAAGGTTCGCCTGAATCCCCTCGTTCGGTTGTTTCTATCTACCGAACGAGGGGCCGTTCGGTAGTTTGGAACCGAACGGACCGGGCTTGTGGAGGTCTCAGCGGTGTTCGTCTAGTCGAGTGTCCGATTTGAGTTCCAGACACTCGACGGCACAACACCGCTGTTCGGAAGTTTTAAAATGGCCGCCGCCACGTGTTCGTTTCCCAAATGGCGGCCACACCCGAGAACAAAGGACTGCTACTTAGCTTGTCAATTACCCGTTCGCAACAATGTTGCAACAGGTAATTGAAGGCATATTTCACACAGGGTAGGTCTGACTGTTCAGTAGTTTCATTCGAACAAACTAAGGGAATGAAACTACCGAACAATCAGACGAACATTTAACACATATAACTTTGCCATTTACACGAATGCAGTCAAGACCAATACAATTCCCAGGACAGCCCAGTGCCATCCGCTACATGAATAAAATACAGTAAGTACATAGGATGGCGGGGATGTGCTATGCCGCCCCCCAGGTCCCCAAGGATGGCAGAGCACGCCTGCCGTCCTTAAGAGGTTAAAGCACTTGTTGCATACACTTGTGGTTGCGCTTACCTACTTTTTTTCTAACTTGTGTTTGCATATATCACTGTAGGAGCCACAATGAGGTGGGATAGCAGCACCTGTACCTTCTTATTTTACTGCCTATTTGGAGTGCTGTGGTAACTCCAGCCTCTATCTTTTTTCAAGTGATAACATCGACATAAATGCCAGGACCCAAGGTTTGCCAGTGGAATATTGCCCAGAGCATAACACTGCCTCTTACCATAATGCATCCTGCTCCACTATGGGACTCACAAGCTGTAGTGGAGTAGTAGTACTCTGTTGGTAGTCAGGATTCAGCATGCAAAATATAGGTAGCGTAGTAATAATCCCTTTTTCCCAAGGACTAGACGACACATAGTCTGGGAGTCAACTGAGCCTTTATTCCATAGTCACCATATTTATACAAGTCCCCATGCAAGGGGTTTCCAAACTGCCATGCACAGTCTGTATATGGTGTGTACAGTATGAGAGAATGATATACACCGTCTGTATATGGTGTGTACAGTGTGAGAGAATGATATACACAGTTTGTATATGGCATATACAGTGTGAGAGAATGATATACACAGTTTGTATATGGCATATACAGTGTGAGAAAATTATATACATCGTTTCTATATAGTGTATACAGTGTGAGAGAATTATATACATAGTTTCTATATAGTGTATACAGTGTGAGAGAATGATATACACAGTCTGTATATGGTGTGTACATTGTGAGAGAATGATATACACAGTCTGTATATGGTGTATACATTTTGAGAGAATGATATACACAGTCTGAATATGGCGTATACAGTGTGAGATAATGATATACACAGTCTGAATATGGCGTATACAGTGTGAGAGAATGATATACACAGTCTGTGTATGGTGTGTTCAGCATGAGAGAATGATATACACAGTCTGTATATAGTGTATACAGTGTGAGATAATGATATACACAGTCTGTATATGGTGTGTACATTGTGAGAGAATAATATACACAGTCTGTATATGGTGTATACATTGTGAGAATGATATACACAGTGTGTATATGGTGTATACATTGTGAGAGAATAATATACACAGTCTGTATATGGTGTATACATTGTGAGAGAATGATATACACAGTCTAGACTAGACGACACATAGTCTGGGAGTCAACTGAGCCTTTATTCCATAGTCACCATATTTATACAAGTCCCCATGCAAGGGGTTTCCAAACTGCCATGCACAGTCTGTATATGGTGTGTACAGTATGAGAGAATGATATACACAGTCTGTATATGGCATATACAGTGTGAGAAAATTATATACATAGTTTCTATATAGTGTATACAGTGTGAGAGAATTATATACATAGTTTCTATATAGTGTATACAGTGTGAGAGAATGATATACACAGTCTGTATATGGTGTGTACATTGTGAGAGAATGATATACACAGTCTGTATATGGTGTATACATTTTGAGAGAATGATATACACAGTCTGAATATGGCGTATACAGTGTGAGATAATGATATACACAGTCTGAATATGGCGTATACAGTGTGAGAGAATGATATACACAGTCTGTGTATGGTGTATACATTGTGAGAGAATGATATGCACAGTCTGTATATGGTGTGTTCAGCATGAGAGAATGATATACACAGTCTGTATATAGTGTATACAGTGTGAGATAATGATATACACAGTCTGTATATGGTGTGTACATTGTGAGAGAATAATATACACAGTCTGTATATGGTGTATACATTGTGAGAATGATATACACAGTGTGTATATGGTGTATACATTGTGAGAGAATAATATACACAGTCTGTATATGGTGTATACATTGTGAGAGAATGATATACACAGTCTGTATATAGTGTATACAGTGTGAGATAATGATATACACAGTCTGTATATGGCATATACAGTGTGAGAGAATGATATACTAAGCATACAAACTATGTATATCATTCTCTCACACTGTATACACTATATACAGACTGGGTATATCTTTATCCCACACTGTATACATCATATCCAAACTGTGTATATCATTCTCTCACTCTGTATACACCATATACAGACTGTGTAGATACCACAGGGTATGTGGATAGCTGGGATGAATGGTGTAGTACACAGGGAGTGTGGATAGCAGGGATGAATAGTGTAGTACACAGGGAGTGTGGATAGCTGGGATGGGTGGTGTAGTACACAGGGAGTGTGAATAGCTGGAATGGGTGGTGTAGTACACAGGGAGTGTGAATAGCTGGGATGGATGGTGTAGTACACAGGGAGTGTGGATAGCTGGGATGGGTGGTGTAGTACACACAGAGTGTGGATAGCGGGGATAGATGGTGTAGTACACACAGAGTGTGGAGAGCGGGGATGAATGGTGTAGTACACACAGAGTGTGGATAGCGGAGATGGATGGTGTAGTACACACAGAGTGTGGATAGCGGGAATGGATGGTGTAGTACACAGGGAGTGTGAATAGCGGGAATGGATGGTGTAGTACACAGGTAGTGTGAATAGCGGGGATGGATGGTGTAGTACACAGGGAGTGTGGATAGCTGGGATGGGTGGTGTAGTACACAGGGAGTGTGAATAGCGGGAATGGATGGTGTAGTACACAGGGAGTGTGAATAGCGGGGATGGATGGTGTAGTACATAGGGAGTGTGGATAGCTGGGATGGGTGGTGTAGTACACAGGGAGTGTGAATAGGGGGGATGGATGGTGTAGTACACAGGGAGTGTGAATAGCGGGGATGGATGGTGTAGTACACAGGGAGTGTGGATAGCTGGGATGGGTGGTGTAGTACACAGGGAGTGTGAATAGCGGGAATGGATGGTGTAGTACACAGGGAGTGTGAATAGCGGGGATGGATGGTGTAGTACATAGGGAGTGTGGATAGCTGGGATGGGTGGTGTAGTACACACAGAGTGTGGATAGGGGGGATGGATGGTGTAGTACACAGTGAATAGCGGGGATGGATGGTGTAGTACACACAGAGTGTGGATAGGGGGGATGGATGGTGTAGTACACAGTGAATAGCGGGGATGGATGGTGTAGTACACAGGGAGTGTGGATAGCTGGGATGGATGGTGTAGTACACAGGGTGTGTGGATAGCTGGGATGGGTGGTGTAGTACACAGGGAGTGTGGTTAGTGGGGATGGATGGTGTAGTACACAGGGCGAGTGGATAGCGGGGATGGATGGTGTAGTACACACAGAGTGTGGATAGGGGGGATGGATGGTGTAGTACACAGTGAATAGCGGGGATGGATGGTGTAGTACACAGGGAGTTTGGATAGCGGGGATGGATGGTGTAGTACACAGGGTGTGTGGATAGCTGGGATGGATGGTGTAGTACACAGGGTGTGTGGATAGCTGGGATGGGTGGTGTAGTACACAGGGAGTGTGGTTAGCGGGGATGGATGGTGTAGTACACAGGGCGAGTGGATAGCTGGGATGGATGGTGTAGTACACAGGGCATGTGGCTAGCAGCGATGGGTGAGTTGTATACAAAGGTTGTGGCAAGTTTGGATGGGTTGGGTAGTATAGAGGGTGTGTCCTAATGGGATGCGTGAGACAGTACAAGGTATGATCAGCTAGGATGGGAGTTCTAAACAAAGAGTGCACGGTTGGGTGGTACACAGATGGCCTGGCTAGCTGGGGTGTGTGGTACACAGAGGGTGTGGTTAGGAGAGTGGTACACAGAGGGTGTGGCAAGTAGTAATACGTGATAAGGAGGGTATGGCAAGCAGTAATGAGTGGTACACAAAGGGTGTGGTTAGGTTATCGGTTCTAACTTGCTGCAGTAGGGACTGGCCATTGATTATTTGTGTTCAAACCGGTTTCAGATAGCCATTTGTTTGCCACCTGATTTACCTGCTATAATAGATGGGCTTACTAACCTTTCAGCTACCTCAGCCCTCTCTTCAGATCGTTCCAGCTCGGTCTCAAGAATAACAAGTTTTCGGGCCACCTGTGCAGAAAATATAGGAACAGTGACTAAATTAGCATAAACCAGGACTGTATATTCAAGCAGATCCAGAGGCACCACTCAATTGTCTTCACTATTGTATCACTCCATCATCTCATCCCCAGGTATCACTCCATCAACTCCTACCCGGCTATCACTCCATCATCCATCCTCTCCTCCCCAGGTATCTCTCCTCCCCGGGTATCACTCCATCATCCATCATCTCCTACCCAGGTATCACTCCATCATTCATCCTCTCCTCCCCAGGTATCACTCCCCATCATCTCCTCCCCAGGTATCACTCCATCCTCTCCTCCCCAGGTATCACTCCCCATCATCTCCCCCCCAGGTATCACTCCCCATCATCTCATCTTCTCCCCATCTTCTCCTCCCCAGGTATCACTCCATCATCTCCTCCCTAGGTATCACTCCATCATCTCCTCCCTAGGTATCACTCCATCATCTCCTCCCCTCATCTTCTCCCCATCTTCTCCTCCCCAGGTATCACTCCATCATCTCCTCCCTAGGTATCACTCCATCATCTCCTCCCCAGGTATCACTCCATCATCTCCTGCCCAGGTATCACTCCATCATCTCCTCCCCTTGTACCACTCAATCCTCTCCTTCCCAGGTATCACTCCTCCCAGGTATCACTCCATCCTCTCCTTCCCAGGTATCACTCCATCCTCTCCTCCCCGGGTATCACTCCCTTGTACCATCTCCACCCCAGGTATCACTCCATCCGCTCCTTCCCAGGTATCACTCCATCCTCTCCTCCCCGGGTATCACTCCATCATCTTCTACCACTCTTGTACCACTCCATCCTCTCCTTACCAGGTAATACTCCATCCTCTCCTTACCAGGTATCACTCCATCCTCTCCTCCCCGGGTATCACTCCATCATCTTCTACCACTCTTGTACCACTCCATCCTCTCCTTACCAGGTATCACTCCATCCTCTCCTTACCAGGTATCACTCCATCCTCTCCTTACCAGGTATCACTCCAACATCTCCACCCCAGGTATCACTCCATCCTCTCCTCCCAGTGTATCACTCCATCCTCTCCTCCCCGTGTATCACTCCATCCTCTCCTCCCCGTGTATCACTCCATCCTCTCCTCCCGAGGTATCACTCCAATATCTACTCCCCTTGTACCACTCCATCCACTCTCCTCCCCTGGTATCACTCCAATATCTCCTCCCCAGGTATCATTTCATCATCTCCGTCCCTTGTGCCACTCCATCCTCTCTCAACCACTGAAGACCCCCGCCCCTCCCAGATATTGTTCCTCAGGTTTCACTGTACAAGTACCTCTTCATACTTGCGGTCAGAATCCTCTGCAATGTGTTTGGCTTCTTTCAGTTGTTGTTCCTGATCATGCATCTTCTCCTCATCTTTTGAGGCTCTATTCTCAATGACCTTCATCCCCCTGGGATATATTGAACAATCACATATTATACTGCAAGTATCAGAACCTGCTCTATATACCCCATGTAATATTCACACACCATGCACTTAGTTCATGGGGTATCACACCCAGCTCTAACTACCCCATGTAATATTCACACACAATGCACTTAAGTCATGGGGGTATCACACCCAGCTGTAAATACCCCATATAACCAGGGGAGGACTGACCATATGGGCTCTCTGGCCGGGTTCCGTGACTTGGTTTCCTACGCGCCATGAACCACGGTGGCCATCTTTAAAAACTGCCAGTTTCCATTCCACTATGACGGGGGTCTGAGGCCTGCCTCTCTCATTAAATACAGTCCTGGGAACATACTTTAAACTAGAAGGGGCTCCAGTTTGTCAACTGGCTCCTCCATGTAGCATTACAGCTTGAGGAGATGCACCAACCAAGAAGATGATGATGCAGCAGCAGCCATATTTAAATGTGGCAAGTGCCAGTGGTGTCTTAAGCAGGTGAGCCGCTTGGGCCAGGATGTCAGGGAAGGGCAAGGGAATCAGCAGAACAGCCAAAGTAGGTAAGATTCGCCTTGAGACTATATCATTTTTTTGTAACTGTGGCGGAACCAACCTCGCCACTGGCCACTGGAGGAGCCTGGTCACCCGCCTCCTGCCGCTGGACTATGGCCCCATGTTTAACACTGTTCTTTTTGCCTGCAGAAAGGCCGGTTCGTGCCTTTCTACGGACTGTTAAAGTCACGAATATCACTGAGCCGCCGACCTCCCTTTTCCTACCTGCAGTCGATTATCCGAACACCGATCCATTCGGTACTTTACTGTTTAAACCATGCTACCCCAGATAGCTATGCCATGGAGCCCAGCCGTATACTGAAAGACTGTATGAAAGACTTTGGCTCCATGACGATTGAACTGTGTGTATGTGATCTGAGCGCCATCCGGTAATAATGTGCTCTAAGCTATCTGGGGATAGGTAGAATGTGTATGTTCTATGTGATAAATGTAACAGTATGTATTTTTATGTCTTTTATTGTCCTTTGTCTGCCATGTGGTTAATGGAGATTTGCCTCTGTCCTTGGAGATAATTGGATTACTTCCCAATTATCTCCAGGACAGAGAGGAGGGATTGTGATGCATTGTGGGATTGTAAGCTTGTGATTGGTCAATGTCCAATATGTTTCCCAGTCTTCCATCTAGTCACCTAGGGGAGTGTCCACCAGGTGGGAGACCTGCATAAAAGCCAGGCAGGTAGCTCCAGTAAGTCAGTTCTGCTTGACCCTCAAACGAAGTGTCGTCTCGTTCTTGGGGGGAATTGGATTGTATGCTGTCAGGAGTGTAAACTGTTCGTATGGTTTTTCCTGTTCGGCTGTTTACAGCATTCATGTGTTTCCTGTTTGGGAGTTTGGAGCATTCCCCTGGTTCCAGTTCGGGAGATTTGTGAATTCATGTGCTTGCAGTTCGGGAGATTGGTGATTGCAGTAGCTGTCTGTGCATCTGAAAAGGGGAATATCGCCTAAACGGTTTTTAACCTCTTGTGTGCAAAACGATCCGTTACGGTAACTATTATTCATTTTAGGTGAGGTTTAATGAGGTACAAGGTTTATA